CCGGCTGGCCCCCTTTACGAGCGGCTACTGCGCTGTGTTTTCAAGCGTGGAGACAAATTGGATTCCCGGATAGAAATAGAGACAGAATGTATCTCGCTTCCATTTAGACAATGGTATTTCGGAGAGAGGAGTGGGCTGCAAGTGCTGATGGGTTAGATATCTGTTCTTCTCAAGGGGTTGGTTGGTTATATGCAATGCGCCAACGGATATGACCCCGCGAATTCATAACTAGACAATGTCTAAGCAGTTTGTACTGAATGAATCCTATGAGCTTTTCTGCAGACAAAGGATGGTGCGTCTATACGTATCGTACGACATGTATCTCAGGTTCCTTTTTTTCTATGAACGGAACATATATTGCGATTGCAGGCGGATTCATCTATATGCCATTGGGATAGTTAATTAGTCACTTCGAGTCAATGAGAATGAAGTATTTTGATAGTATTTCTTAAATGGAAGAACAGAATGTATATAGGATTTCTCTCTATTCGCATCTCATCGCCAGCAGAACAACAACATGCCAGCTCTGGAGAAGCAAGTCACTATAGCAACACCTTCACCCATTCACCCTGAACACGTATTGCTCTTTGGAACTCAACTTAGCTCGATGCAATCCATTTCTGCCTTCGATGCTTGTTGTCATACATCACCCATAAAAGCTTCACTCGAAATCAACACACAACCAGCATAGGTAACATAGACATAGCAAGGGCCGTCAAATAAGCATGGCGTGGTACGTTTCAGGGAGGAGTTTCTTTCGCGACTCGAGCGATGAGAATGATGATGGTGATGAGAAAGGCGATGGAGCCCACATCGATTTCACGACGAATCGTATTAGCCCCAACCTCGACATTGGGGCCAAAGCTAAAGATAAAGATAAAAGGAGGGAGAAAGGGGGAAGAGCCGGAGACACGGAAACCAGGAGACAGTCGAGTATGTACTCTTGATATAAGCATACGACTCAATTCACTCTATGACGTGCACCATGTTGTTTCCACCTACTTTCTTGAAGTGTAGAGTATATATACCGTCCATGATACTAATTGGTAAACAATACAGTTGCAACAAGCTCCTTGCTGCCTTTCCCGTGGAGCAAAATCACCATATCAGACATGAGGGACGCGAGTACGAGCCCGGAGAGAAAGAGCGGCAGAAGAGAACCCACGTTGATTTCAATTTCAACCTCAGCTTCTAAGAAGCAGCGGCGTTGTAGCATGAGTGATGCTCCAGCGTGTCTAGGACTCGGGCCAGCTCCAAAAGTTAACCTAAACATCGACGATAACACACCTGTACCGTCAGCACCGGCAAGCATGATGTCAGCACAAGAACACTTCGCGTCAATTCCAGCAAAGAAATTTGCGGGAAATATTCACTTTCGTAACCCGCGCGAGGCCGATGATGGTGGGGACGCTGAGGATGGGGATAGTATCAATTGCAGCAGCGTCGGGTTACTGCGTTCTGCGTTTGGGAGCAGAAGCAGCAGCGGCAAGAAACGCACGGCTGTTGGAGCTGGAAATCAAGTGACATCGTTGCACTCGTCGAACCATTTGGCTCACGCTACTGTTCCGGCTGGGGTTATGCCCACTGCCACACGCCGGCCCACTGACAGTGGCTGGAGCGGGGATTTTGTCCACTTGTTTATGGGTGGTGAGAGCTGGAATCGGTTCGAGTTGAACTGTGACACCTTGAATCTTGATCTTTTCTGGCCGGCTGTAATGGGAAGCAGGAAAAAAGAAAAGGGAAAGGGCAAGGAGCAAATAAAGGGTCAGAGGAACGAGAAAGGTAAAATGAAAAAGGAGGACGAAAGTGAGAAGCGCAAGGGAGAAGCGAAGGAGGAAATACTCAACCCCTTTGACGACGAGTACGAGATCACCATCTCGGACGATGATGACACTGATGACAATGATGACGATGACATACTCCCTGTCGAAGCGATAGCACCGCTGTGCAATTTCCGCAATCTGCGTTTCTTGAAACTCGCCGGGATGAGCCAATCATACCAAAAGTACATCTGGCAGGCTGCTTGGTTAAACCCTGGTCTTGAGACGTTGGAGCTGGAGATGGCGCTGGAGCCGTGCATTCGTCGCGCCTTTTCTGGGTGGCCATACATTAAGGGGGGCTGGGTTCAACAGAGAAAGCCCGACGGAGAGCAGGGCTCATACTAGTAAGTTGCCATTTGTGTTCAACAAATAGCTGTCTCCAAAAATAGTCTAGAAAGAAAGTATTTCTAAGGAGTGTTTATATTCTCCTCTTTCAGTGGCGACGATGGAAAAGGTATTTTGCACCGCCGAGTCGGTATCGGCGAATACCTGGATAAATACGCCATTGTGCACGCAAAGGCTCGCGCGGCTCGCATGGGAAGCACCCTAAATCTACTACCAGTTGTTAAACTCACCCTCACCGGTTTTGTCGTCGACGCGGAACCCTTCCATCTCTTTAACCCGCACCGCCTCCGCTTGATCAGTTTCAAGAACGATTGTGTCGATGCAGGCTTTACATTGCCGGAGCGAATGCGCGAGCAAGTCGTTGTTTCTTGGCCGAAACTTCTGTCTCAACAGGCTATCGCTGCTCGACGGGTCAAGCATGGCGAGATCAAGCTGATTGACCACTGGTCAAAGAGGAAGAAGCTCGCGAGCCATACGCCAGCATATTGTTCAGCATCCTCAGTAAAATCAACAGCAATAACAACAGCAGCAAATACAACAACAGCGACAGCAGTATCAGTAACAACGGCCGGGAAATCAAAAGCAGCGGCTCCGCATAAAGACACCGCTGTGGCCACGCCGAATTTCTCCTATCCCAATCCTCACGCGTCTGTGGGCAGTCCGACGAGTGCTGCCAAATCCTCTGCAACTGCAGACAATACGCACAAGGGTAAGGGTAAGCAGATAGATGGGAACATGCTATGCGCTGCAGATTCGAGGGATATATTCAAGGAGGACGTCAAACCACAGCAGCGGCGGAGGTTGTTTTCGTCGCTGAAGAAGGCTAGGCGCTGACTAATCCGCTTGGTAGCCAAGGGATGAACCTACATGCCACTCACCACGTTGCACGTATCAGATAGCTACAAAACGGATTCCCAAACATTTCTCATTGTTATAGCTAAGCCCGCTAGATATTGAACATGATGACACGATTTAGGTACCGATAGCTAAGCAATTTTCCAAAGATACCTTAAAATGCACCATAAATAAGCTTGTCAATAGACAAATATGCTCACAAAACGTACTTTTGTGATGGCAACCAATTGGAAACAAGCGAGAAGATTTCCAAATTGTCATATAATTCTTCCAAAACAAAAAAAAGAGAATTGAGCAAGAGAGTGGAGGAGACTTGGCTACCAGTCAAGCCCCCTGTGGTTAGTCAGAGTTTCCTAGAAGGCCTTACCGCGCCTGCATACAAGAGATATCGCCCGAGATCGATGTTCGTCGGGACATTTTAATTAGTGGGCACGAATAGTCGAGCCTGCTTCACGTCCGTAAAAATACTGGCGCTTAGGATCCCTCTTCATCACCGATTCGAATGGTTCCTTCAGTTCCGACGCCCCGGGCCCAGAATCCATCCATATTCAAGGAACTTCGCGGCAATGTAAGCTCCACACCCTGACATTGATGAAACATAAGGAATAAGAATAACTTACTAGGCTGACATGCTATCGTGGGAGATGAGGAGCCAGTATCCGAAAAGGCCCTGAAGGAGGATGTCCAAAATGGCGTAGGTAACGACCTCGGCGTCAATACTCATGCGACGAGCGTTTGAGGAAGCAGCCCAGATTCTGAAATAATTTTTTTTAACATCGGTCTCTTTTCCAGACGTGAAGTTTATTATTGTACACTTACATTGGGTAGACCAGCAAGGCAACTAGCGCAACGCCAGAGAGCGACCCAAACAGCGTTTTCGTCTTATTATCCTTTGATGCAACTGCCCTGCGGCCGTTGAATCCGATTTGATACACGATTGTGAGATATGCCAAGCACGAAATCGTATACCATGCCCATTTCCGACCAGTGGGTCCTCCATATGCACTGATGGCCCCAGTCACAACCATGACAAGGTTCGCAGCGATGGAAACCAAAAGGCTGGCTCCGTTCATTCCGGACAGAAGAACCAGGATGATGAGAATTATTGGGAACGTCAAGCCCCAGTTCACATATCGCGCCCAGTACACCTCACGGTAAATATGTTGGACGGTATCGGGGGCTTTTTTGTGGTGCTCGTGGATGATAACATGGTTATACGCCTTTCCGCCGCCTGTGGCCATCGCAAAATAAGCGAGGAAGGATATGGTCGTCACTAACGAGACAAGGACGTGGAATAGGCGTTTTTGCTGGGAGTGAGCTTTGTTAGCTGGACATTCTCTATGTATATCCAGTCTTCTGAAGGGAAACTTACAACCGGTGCTCGAGCAGCTAAGATATAGAAAATAAGAGAGGACAGTAGCATAAGAATTGCAACCACCCTAGTAAAATCATTAGGATACGTGCTGTATTTTATTTATTTTCTTTTTATCTTCGTGAAGTAGACGCACCATAATGTTCGATGGCCCGTGCCGCCTATTTCTTGAAAGATTGGCTCGTTCGGGATAACAGTCGGGATCGGGCCGACTGTAGACAGGGGCCTGAAGGCATCAAGTTTGGTTGGTTCAATCATGACGGGCGAACTGTCGATATCCAATTTCCAGAAGTTAAAAAGAGGAGATAATAGTTATATGGAGATAATAGAGTAAAAAGATATAAAGACCTTGGGCATAAAAGGCAGGAGCCTGGAGCCTGATTATATATATGTAAATATATAGAGATAGAGATTCTTGGACTGATGGAGGCAAAACCAGGCGGATGGCGATTGAGGCAATGGCAGGTCAGACATCGTGAGGTCAGACTCGTCATACATCATTCCTATGCAGCGCAGGTATGGAGGCTGCAGAGGTAAATGTTGCATGAAAACCGGTTCCTTGGAATGCTCTTCATTCTGTCACGGCACCTTCGTCATTGCTGAGCTAGTTGCTGTCCAATCGGACGAGCTCAAAAGGCTGGCAAGGGTAACCTGTCATGGGCCATTCCTGGCAGCACACAGAACCTTGAAACGGTTAGTCATCGTCGAGGTTGGTTTCTCAAGGTTCGGCTGGAAAACTCGATAAGAATAAATGATTGTGGAGGATCTTAAGAATCCGAATATTGGATGTTCCATTTCCCAGCTGTTTGGAGTCTTCTATCATTTGAGGAACAGCGAGTATGAGAAATCCGGACCCAGGCTAGGCTGGATTAGCATAAAACTATGGAAAGCCGTTGAGTGGTTTCCTCATATAGAGGGGAAGGCGGATTACAATCGCATGCCCCGTCGTTAACAATAACGTCTGATTGTCGGGAGGGAAAAGGAGATATCCGTGAAATTGGAAAACGAATGAAGATAAAGAAAAAGAAAAGAAGAAGAAAAGAAGAAGGAAGAAAAGACGAGGTCGACCATCGCGAAGTCACGGGACCAGAGCATCTCCACCTTTTAGCGCACATCAACGCATTGCAACATCTATCGCAATGAGACACAGGCAGGCATGTCTAGATACTTGCCTGGAGATACAATTCGTTCTTTACTTGCTTAATTGCAATTTGTATTCGATATATTGATTTTGTATATGCATGACTACATCTGAACCATCTTGGTGTGGCTCTTTTCGTTGGCTCCCTCACTTTATTTATCCCCCCACCAAGGTAGCTTGCATCTAGCATTGCAGTATCAATCCTATGTCTACCTTAAGTAGGGATCTTGAGAAGTTTGCTTCTGTGGACAATGGCGACAAAAAGTGCAGCGCGTTAAGCCTTGTGGATGAGAAGCCCTGTGAGGCTCTTGCAACGTCCTCTAATGGCCTGTTTTGTCCCTTTCACTCTAGACAGTGTCATGGTATGTTGCAAATCCATGCCTGGGAAAATAATATATAATATGATGACCCATCTGAGATGATGTATGTATAGGCCTCTATATGGGTTATAAAACTAGAAACGCGAAGTTGGATGAGCTTCGTTCCTGTCCGCCTGAACAACTGGCTAAAAGATCGGCCAAACTTGCCAATGACTTCTTTGACGACCTTGGGAATGAAAGTGCACTTTCAGAAATCCATGACCACCTGCTACAGACATATCGTTTGCTTGACCGTGTCATCAAAGCCCGAAAACTCCATCATGGCCATTTCTACGCCCAGGCCATGGACTACGGCCACCAGAAATATCTAGACGCTCTTTTACAGCAAAAGGTAACTGTTGCCACGGCCTTGGAACGAGTCACTCGCCGAACCGCAGAGGTACTGTATAAGAAACGCAAGTGGTTCCAATGGACAACCAAATGCCAGGAAGAGGAAGAAAAAATGCGCGAGAATGAGAAGAAGAAAATTAAAAGAGAGGCCGCACTCTTTAGGAGACAGGTGAAGGAAGTTGACCGGCGTATGCGTGAACTACGTATAAAAGAACAGAAGAAACAACAGGATGACTTTCTTCAAAAGGTGTACGAGGAGCGAGTTGCACAAGACGCAGAATCCTGGGACCCGATTGAAGATGTGCTCGACAACGAGCGTGGCACTTATATTAGTTTGATCGAGCACTTCCTTTGGCTAATAGACACGCACCCAGAGGAAACTGGTGCGGGGGATTGCGCCGTGCCACAGCAACTGGATAATAACTATGATACCCACAGTACGGATACAGTGTTACTTTCCACCCAAGAAGACGACGCAGCAGCTACACAGAAAATGCCTCCTACTGCCGCTTCTAAAAATAAGAGGAAAGGCAAAAAGGGCAAGGGTAATCATCCAACTGCTGCGGAGGTGGAAACGAGGTTGGCGACTGGCCAAAAATGTACTGGAAACTCTGATTCAAACATCGAAAATATCGAAAGCCGTGAACAGATGGGCGCCCGACTTACTGAAGGAATGAAACTTGATGGTGCTGTTTTTCTGATGAAGGGCACGCCTGAAAATCCGGAAGTCACGTCGGATCGGATCTGTCCTATCCCAGCTGATGAAGTTGACCACCTATTGGATGATATAGCGGAGATTAAGAACTACCTTTTTTGCCGATTGTTGCTGGGGAATGCTGCTCTCCTGCCAGCTGCTCTACGCTCCTCTACAATTAACGACTTCTTTAATGATCCTGACGTGACCGTAAACGGCCTGAGGGATATATGTTTGAAACTGGAGCAGCCAGAGCTACAAGATATTCGTGATGCGTGTGCGGATTTCGCTCGCGGTGACACTGATAGTGCAGAGTTTTCCGATTTTGATGAAGAAGAGGAGCCGGAACCGGAGTCGGATGACGATGATACTGACGATGATTGGGTTGTTCGCCGCTCGCATCGACGGCATAATATCCCTGATAAATGGCAATCAAAGCGAGAGAAGAAAATATCCGCGAAGCGAGAGAGGCGGAAGAAAACCCTGGATGCAGGTGGTGCAGGAGAGGGACAGGGCTCAGCAATTGACTTTGGGCAATTGGATAGTGAGGACAGTCGTATTCAACAGAAAATTCGAGTCAAACTCTGCGGCCGGCATATTTACAACTACCCTAGCACTAAGTCCATGTCCCGCGGGGGCTGGTTGCATTTTAGCATCATCGCAAAAGATTGCAATTTCTTCAGAGCCGTGGAACTTTGCAAATCATGGGAAGAGTTCTTTGAACTGAATATCCTGGCTAGCTATAACTACTTCCCGTCACCGTCATGGTTACTATCTACGAGCCATGCCATGCATAGCGCCCTTCTCAAAATGGTAAGTTTGCGTTCCCCGTTTGCTAAAGAGAATATAAGAGCTGATTCAACTGCTTTTTAGGGTTTCATACCATTTTACATGGAATCCAAGGCAAGTTCACTGACAATAGGCGAGGAAAGGAGCATAGGCCGCCGCAGGAACCATGTTGTTCGGGAGGGGAGAAATTACATATGCGCTCAGATGAAACGTAGCAACCCTGTCACTCGCAGGTGTCTTCAATATGTATCAATGCAAGCCTCCCGCATGATGCTCGTCGTCCGGGATGGTAAAACTGGCAAAATACTCGTGAAGCCCCCAGACGACAATGCCTGGCTCTTCCGCGAAAAGATTGGCCATAGGCGGGGTTCTCAGGCTCCATGGAATGTAATTAAGCGAGTTGATGAGGCGTTCTTCAACGAGATGGAGCGTCGACGGGCCTTTCGGCTTGGCTTTGATGATTTTTACGACGTATACATCTGGAGTTCCACATGCGGAGAGCCGTTTGAGGCATTGTACGGCGGCATAATTGAGGTTTGTCTCGTGTTGTCATTTGTAATTCACTTTAATTCACCCTCGCTGACGTTTAATAGATGTTATACAAATCCCACCGCGTTACTCGGCCAGCTCAAATTCTCGGGGCTTCCGCGCCCTATTTGAAAACAGTTACCAAGGACCCTAAAACTTATCGGATCCGAGATATCAAGCCTGGAGAGCAGGCTGAAAGTGTCCATGATGCGTATGAGAGAGAGGATACAATATTTCGATTCCGCACTTCTAAAGGTAAAGTCGGAACAGGCTTGCCGAGCCAGATGAAATATAATGAAGCCGACGCATTGGAGGACGCTATCCTTTTCCCTGAAGAGTTCACGGGCGAGGCAACGTCGAATCGCATGAGGGCGATGAGAAACAACTTAACAGATTTCGAACAAGGGCGAATCAAGAATTATGTTAAACGTTTCGCCTATGATCTCGAGAGTGATGAATATAATTCCGAGGATTTTAACTCTGATGAGTATTATTCTGACGATGAGGAGGACGAGTGGGTGGGTTCTGAAATTTCGGATAGTAGCTTAAATCAAAGTGGGCAGAGTAAGCTGGAGGAATCGGATAAAGATACAGCTAAAGCTAAAGGTGGACACGAGGAGAGCGAGGACGGTGGTGACGTACCAGACTCGTATGATATTCCCACCCCTTTCTGTGTCTTTTCTTGAAGCGTGAACTATTTAACGTAGGGAGCATGCTGATATCCATGAACTAGGAACCCGTCAAGTGAAATTGTGGACGATTTCTTCAGAGCACTTGAAAAGGCAGACGACCTCCTGGAAACATTCGGACCCGGGCCAGAAGATGGCAACGACATGCGACTTGAATTTATGGAATTTCTGGAGCGCCAGAAAGCCAAAAGTAGGTGGCACAGCGATGATTTTCGGAAATATGCACACGCCCCACTCGTTAGCACAAAATAGCACGAAATAGTTGTTGCTGACTCGTTGTAGTTTTCAAGGAAGCCTGGCACCGGGCGGATCTGGAGCCACATGGCTTTTCCCAGTGGAACGAGCTCCTCCAGATCCGTTCCAAATGTGATACAAATATCTCCTACATGACAGCAACAGTAGCAAACTGGTGGAAACCGCTGGTATTTCTGGACTACCACCCAGGCACTCATTCGAGGGTACAAGCAGATGCGCGATATGCATCCTTAATGAGTTCATTATTTTTCCAAGCCGGAAATGTTTTCTTTGACAACGGTCCGGAAGGGGACGAGCTTAGAAAGTCGATGCTTTTCAGGCAGGCGGAACGCGGCCAAACACTTCCAGATAGGAGAGGTTATCGCTGTCCCACCTCCAGAGGCAATAAGTTCTTTGAGGAGTTTGATGAACTTGCGGGGAAATGCCAGAAAAATCAGACGCACCTCTTAGATGAGACCCCCCCGTAGTGGGACGTAGCGCTCCGGCCCAATATTGCCCACTGTGAGTTAACCGGCCAAGAGTGCGAAACCGAAGTCATTTAGTTTTTCAAGGCTAATAGAATATAGTGTTCAAGGAGGGCGTCATCTGCCTATGCTATGAACCGGTAGACCAGATCCCAGGGCAAGCATTCGCTGCTCGTGAAATGGACCGGCCTCTCGACCTCTTCATCGACTTCCGCAATATGTTGCATGAAATCCACATGCCTCCTGGGCGCGAAGATCCGGCCAAAATCTCAATCCCTTTCCTACGTAACAAGATTAAATCCCACGCCGCTCGCCAACCAAACGCGCGCTTCTCCTTTCTCAGAGTGTGGTCTGGCTCGCACTTCTACCCACTGATGATTGGCTATGATAACCGTCTCTGGACCTCGTTCATCGATGAGATAGGACGAGCATGGTCGTGGCGCTTCATTCCGAAGGACATGCCGTTCTCTGACTGGAGCATGCATCACAACCTCCAGCAGCGGCTTGAGCCCTACAAGAAAGTTTTGCGCGACAAGGTTGTGATCAAACGAGATATGGTCCTTATACTTGCGGAAGATGAGGAGGAGCTTCTCCTGCTGACCTCGGCAGTAACGTTTGCCATCCAGACCCAGCCTTGGAGACTCGAGGTGGATTATTGGAAGAGCTTCATCAATGTTGAGAGTGCGTTTTTGGATGGACTGCAGGATGGGTGGTATGATTGATTTGATGGGTGCTTTTGCTCAACCCTCTCCGTTTTTGTTTTGGGTTTTCAGTTGATATTCGTCGTGCTTGTCTAAATGATAGAAAGATATATGCCACTTGATTGCTGATCCCTCTGGAGGAGCCTAGATATAACCATATTTTTAGTTAGAGGATCTGCTAGATTGGATGATCATTGGTAGACAGGTCCAGTTAGTTTGGATCTTACTTCAACTTGATTGAGCTGATGCAAGTTACGGTTTTTATTATCGATGGGCTGAAGAGGCCCTTCGCCTTCCCCTGGCGAAACAAATCATTACAGAAACGTCTTTTAAGAGTAGCGAACACCAAAAGATTTAGTTTAACGAGGTCTATTTTACAAGTGGGTCTATATACATACATATTACCAACCAAAACGGCAAAGTATTCCAACAACACTAATACGCACCGCATCAATTACTACTAGCCGAAGCTACACCAGTAGTCTCATGGGGCTCCCCCAGCAGTTCCTCCATAGCATCGACGCACCGCTGGCACAGCGGATCATCCTGCTTAGGCTCCAAGGGCACTTGGTATCGCCAGCATCGCCCACATTTAATCGCTTGAGGGGTATATATCCAAACACGCCCACGCTGACTGCTCCCAGGGAACTCGAAGTTTGAGTTGTATTTCCACTCAGCATATTCAATTTCAGGTGGGGGTGCTGCATCATTGTACCCGACTGTGACAGAGGAAACGACGAAGAGGTCTTGTAATTCATCGCCGAATTGTTCAAAAATTGGCGCCTGGGTAGCACTACAGGGGACGGAAATGTGGATGAATGACTGTAGTGAGGAGCCCATTTCCTTTTTATTGCGTGCGTTTTCTTGCATGGTTTTAACTGCTGTGTTGATAGCCATCAGTAACGGGAAACTTTCTTCCAATTTGTCATTTTGCCACTCTGGCGAGGGTTTGGTCATGACGCGCTGTAAAGGTGGTGCGAATTTGGTTTTTATGGTTTCCGGCGTGTGCTCCCATGATTCTTCGACGAGGAGGGGCACCAAAGGCGCCAGCAAGTTTTGGAAATGGTAGTATATGTGGCAGAGTGTTGTCTGGGCGGCTCTCCTGCTCAGACTATCCGGGGAATCGGCGTACAGGCGATCCTTGAGGGATTCGATGTAGAAAGCGGAAAATTCCAAATTGGCCCATTTAGTGATAGCAGTGACTACCTTGTAGAACTCGAAGCTTGAGTACGCATCCTGACACGTTGTGACGAGGTTCCGAAGCTGGAGAAGCGCGATCCTGTCAATGATGCGTAACGACTCGTGCGGAACCGCGCGGCTTGGGTCGAAGTCTTGCAGAGATCCGAGAAGGAGTTTGAAAGTTACCCGGTATTTGTGAAGATTGGTGTTGACGGCTTTGAGCACTGGCTGACCGATGACTATGTCCTTGGTGTAATCACTGCTAGCGACCCATAACCTAAGCGCATCGACTCCAAGGGCGTCATATACAGGGCTCTTCGGCTTCTCCGTCTGCCCCTTCATTTTTTTCAACTTCAATGGAGGTAGAAGCGTCCCGTCCATGATTTGACTTGGGCTAATGACATTCCCGATCGACTTACTCATTTTCCGAGAATCTTTGTCAAGGGTAAATCCGTGGGTAATGAGGGTTTTAAATGGTGCTCGAGAAAGGCCGGCGTTCTTCCCCAAGGCCAGGTTGTAAGCAACATATGTCAAGAGGCTTGATTGAAACCACCCCCTATGCTGGTCTGTCCCTTCAAGATACACGTCTGCCGCATAGCCTTCGACTGAAGCGGTGGCTTTCACTTGCGTCCAGCTAGAGCCGCTATCAAACCACACATCCATAGTGTCCGTTCCTCGTTTGTAGGCAGATCCGGCTGATGTTTCCAGAAGGGCAGCAGGTATCCAAGCAGGGTCGTTCTCATTATCCGTCCACCAGGCGTCAATTCCACGCTCGTCGATAACCTTCATGATGTGAGTGACCGATTCCTGAGTTAGAATTGCCTCCCCGGTTTCTCGATGGTAGAGGGCCGGAATCGGCACACCCCAAGCTCGCTGCCGTGATATACACCACTCGCTACGATTTTTGACGAAACTCTCCAGTCGCGATTTTCCAGTTGCAGGCACAAATTGCACATCCTCCAAAGCCCGGATGGCATTATCACGGATATCACCAACATCAGCAAACCATTGCTCAGTGGCGCGCACTATCACAGGAAGCTTTGACCGCCAGTCATATGGATATTTATGCTCATACTTGTGTTTGGCAAGAAGTTGGCCCTTGCTCTCCACATATCTCAAAACTTCTCGATTGCCCTCGCAAAGTACAGGCTTTCCGCTGAGCATCGAGGGGTTCGAAGGCATTGCCGCTTCCGTGAACAAACCTCCATCATCAACCGGAGTATGGAATGTGATGCCGTGAGCCTGGCAAACCTCATAGTCCTCCATTCCATGTCCAGGAGCACAGTGAACAAGGCCAGAACCGCTGTCTGCTGTCACAAAATCTGCAGCAATAACGCGCTGGGGATCGGAGCCGTCCTTGAAAAGCGGGCGATATGTGGCTTTGGACACTAATTCAGAACCTAGAATCGGAGAGCCTATAACTGTGATTTCATCATCTTGTAACAGCGATTGAATATATTCGCGCCGAGATGAGCCAATAACGAGGTATCCATGCCTTTCCGATTTCACAACAGAGTAATCCAAAGTAGGGCTCACGGCGATGGCTGCATTGGCAGGCAACGTCCACGGCGTAGTAGTCCAAATAACGGCGGAGACCTCGGAGGTATTTGGTGGTAGCATATTTTGTAGTTGAGACGGCATTGACACAAGGGGGAATTTCACTAGTCCAGCTGTGGATATGTGATCATCTTTATATTCCAACTCAGCCTCAGCCAGTGCCGTGCGCGATGAAGGAGACCAGTACACAGGCTTGAATCTCCGATATATCAAGCCCTTCTCCACCATTTTCAGAAATACATCCAGCTGGTTTTTTTCAAAACTCTTATCCATCGTCTTCCAAACACCCTCCCAATCTGCCATGACTGCCCACTTTTGAAAACCCTTCTTCTGTTCCAGGACTGTCCTTTCTGCCAGCTGCCTGGCAGCTTTACGAATCGCCGCAGCAACCCCATTCCCATTTTCGCCCGCTTCAAGCCTCCCCAGTTCTTTTTGTGTTTGCAATGCCTTCAGCTCAATCGGTAGCCCGTGGCAATCCCAGCCAGGTACAAAATCAATCCTTTTCCCCGCTGCCAACTGGACCCGGCAAATGATGTCCTTTAGGATTTTATTCAAAGCGTGCCCGACGTGCAGGTCGCCATTGGCATACGGGGGGCCATCGTGGAGGACGAACCGGTTATCATTGGGGCGATGGCGTTGTTGCCAGGCGTAGAGGTCCTTAGTGCATCGCTCCGAGTACTTGACCTGGTCGGTCAACGACACACGAGGGGGGAAGGTCGATTTGGGAAGTTTGAGTGTCGACGACCAGGATCGCACAAGGGACCGTGACAGCTCTGGCATGCTCCTGTTATTGCAGCATATCTTGGCCTGGTTGTTGAAGGCTGGAGTTTTATTTAGGAATTGAGATGCGGTTCCAGAGTTGCTCAGAGAGGGAAAAGTTAAGTAAACGAAGTTACCGAATACGGGGAGCTTACCGATATCCATACCGGAAAAACGTAGGCTTATTATACGACCGGGTTATGGTTGTTCCGCCGTGCCAGTTGCCGACACCATCACTGAACTGTAAATCTTAATATAATGGTGAATAAGCTGTGGAATCATTGTAAATAAGTTATGAACAGGAAAAAATTATCATTATATTGACAATGTCACTGATTTCTATCTATGTAATCACTAACTCTAAAAAATGTCTTATTCACTAGAATTATTCTCTATTAGAAATCTGTCATATTTCTATCTAATTTCTTCTGAATTCTCTGAATCATCTCTCTCTTATTATCATCATTTCCTGTTAGACTGGCCGCTGAGATTATGAATTTCATGTTTAGTCTCATTTAATCTGATCTCATACATTTTTTGACATGAATTCTGCTGAGACTAGTTATTAAAAAAACATGTAAAGTGATTATATATAAGATCTTAAAATGAAATCATAACTTGAAAAAAATGAGAAAGTGATCTCATTTAATCTTATTTAGTCTCATTCTTGACATAAAGTTACTATTTTTAGACATTTTAAGGTTTTTTTTAAACTATTTTTAATTTTTTAAAAAGTAACACTTTTTGATAATACTTAAATAAGATTTAAAGTCATTTAAAGTAATAAAAATAATTTAAATTGAGAAGTGAAAATCATAGTCTTATTTGAAAAATATAATAAGAGTAGATAGTAAGTCTCACTGAAACAGTATGAAACTACTATTTAATATTAAAACTATGTAATAAGATCAGTTGAATTGATAATAAGACTATTAAAAAATCTAATTCTGGTTTCAAACATAATTATACAGTCAGTCTATTTTAGACTGACTACTGAGATTATGAATTTCATATTTAATCTTATTTAATCTGATCTTATACATTTCTTGATATGAATTTCACTGAAACTAGTTATTAAAAAAACATGTAAAGTGACTATATATAAGATCTTAAAATGAAATCATGACTTGAAAAAAATGAGAAAGTAATTTCATTTAATTTCATTTAGTTTCATTCATAGTATAAAGTTACTATTTTTAGACATTTTAAGGTTTTTTTTAGACTATTTTTAATTTTTTAAAAAGTAACACTTTTTAATAACACTTAAATAAGATTTAAAGTCATTTAAAGTAATAAAAATAATTTAAATTGAGAAGTGAAAATCATAATCTTATTTAAAAAATGTAATAAGAGTAGATAGTAAGTCTCACTGAGACAGTATAAAACTACTATCTAATGTTAAAACTGTGTAATAAGATCAGTTAAATTGATAATAAGACTATTAAAAAATCTGGTTCTGATCTCAGATATGATTACACAGTCAGTCTAGTCTATTTCCTGTTATATTTATATCAGTATTAATATTTATTTCTGTGAACTTGCAAATTGATGTTGAAGTTTTCAAAGAATCAGTGTCAATAATTATTCACTATTTAAGAGAAGAAATTTCAGAGAAAGAGTCAGAAGTAATATATTTATTTATCTATATTATTATTAACTTCTGTATAAATCTGGGAATCATTTTACTGATTCTAACTTACTTTTTAACTAAGAATGTCAAGAGTTTCAGAGCTGCTGCCCCGGTGGCTGAATGGTTAATACGGCCACCCGGTAGTGCCTTGGCGTGGGAAACCAAGGCGCGTGGGTTTGAAACCCGCAGAAGATACATTAAATTCAGAACTCAAGCATCTCAGATTTCTAATAAATACAGAGATGTATAAATCACTTTAATGAATTACTCTATGTTTCTGAGCTGAAAAGTTATTATCACATGTATTTAATTATCACTTCTTTGTATTTTTCTATATTCTTATTATCTTGATATAATCTTAACATCTGTATTTTCTTCTGTATAATTAACACTTGATCTGTATTTAACATCACATAAGAACTCATTATAAGCTTCACTTGCATATAAGTATAATGAAAGAATAATAATAATAATAATAATTCAGAGCTGCTTATAGCCAGAGAATCAATCAGAGTTAAAATATCAGAGAAGAAGAAGAGAAAAAGATTAGTAGCAGTAGTAAAGATATTAGTATGTAAGAGGCCTACACTGAATAGATCAGTATAATATTGATAGGTCTTATATAACAAAGAGAAAAACATTAGAGAAGGAAAGAAAGAGAAAGTGTGAAAATCAGTGATCAGAGTAAATATTTATACATGTATATAATGATGTACACAGTGAGGCTTCAGAGTGGCAGAATCTATACATATTTATAGCAACTGAGAATCAGCAATTGAGAGTAGCTGAGAATCAGAGTGTACATAGCTGAGAATCAGTGATCAGAAGTGACTGAGAGTCAGAGTATATATATTTGAGAATAAAGCAGTTGAAATCTGTGAAGTGTAATGAAATAGTCTATATGATTGATCAGGTGTAGCTCATTATATTAGCTTCTTCTTTTCAGAAGTAGTTCTTATCAGTCAAGAACTGCTGTTTCAGATAATATAGAACTTAAAGTTCAGATCAGATAATTATACCTGACTTATTTCATAAGATATTATTAGCTGCAGCTGTGAAGTCTCTTATCAAGAATATTTTCAATCTCTCACTCAAGCTTATTATCTTCTTCTATGATGCCTGGTGACTGTCAGTCAGAAGTCAGTTGAGAAGAGAACAGATCAGTGATAATATAATAAAGTAAGCTTGTATGAAAGATATCATGAATTTCTGATAATATGTCAAGACAGTAGTTATAATTATCTAGAACTTCTATCACTTTATACTTGATATAATAGTAATTCAGTGTACAAGATGAATATATAATCTGTATATTCTTAAGATTCAATCATATCAAGTCTTCTATCTTATATTGTTCAGTGAGATCTCAGTGAATATTAATTTAATTCTCTTAATCTTGTTTTATAGTTGCTATGAAGATCTCTGCTCAGTCATTCTGAACTTATTAGTGAAGATGAGAATGTCATTAAGATATACAGATATGAATTTATTAAGGAAATCTCAGAGTGCTTAGTTAATATACTTCTGAAAAGTACTGAGAGTGTTAGCTAGTCTGAAGAGAGTAACTATTCATTCAAAGAGAGTATATTATGTTCAGAATACTGTAAGTCACTTATCTTCTTCAGTGATGCAGATCTTATAAAATGCAGTGATGATATCTAGTTTTATAAATCATTGAGCTTGTTCAATATAAGCTAGAGTTTCATTGATAAGAGATAGTGAGTAGTAGTCTTTCTTTGTTATTCTGTTCAGTTCTTGATAGTTCACACAGAATCAGAGTTCTTCATCAGATTTCTTTGCAAAGAGAATAGAGACCGCGGTGAAAGAATTGCTAATACATATGAATTCTTTATTCAATAGATCATTGAGTGTCTTTTGAAGAAGAAGAAGTTCATCTCAGAATATGTTGTAAAGAGAGTCTTATAATAATTCAGAGTTCTTATCATTCTTCTTCTTTAACTTAATACTATGATTCACTTCAGAACCTTGTAAGAGAAGTATATTTATAATATTATCTTATCAGAAGATATCTAGATATTCATGATATTACTAAGAGAGTTTTATATGAAAATCTGTTATTGTAACACAGAATAACTTTTCTAGAGTCTTTTTAATATTAGTCAGACTGATGAAATAGATTACTATATAATTCTACTGTTAATGACTTCTCTTTCAGAGTATTTTATATGTGTTGACAGAGATCTGTGTCAGGTTTATGATCTTGTGAATATTATCTTTGTGAATTCTATCATTGTTAGAGAATATCAAGCTTCTGTTTCAAGTGTTTAATAAGATGTCTTGTTCAGATAGTCAGACAAGTTCTAATATAAGATTATAATCAAGATTATCAACTTCATATGCATAGACATCTTCATATTGATGTTCTTTCACATCTATAGTCAACTTCATCATGTAATGAGTACAAATGTCTTTTGAATCATCAAATTCTGTGAGGAGTCAAGGTTTTGATAAGAGGATACACTGAAGGTTATGATGTCTTATAACTGAAGATTTTATCATTACATAGTGACATAGACCACTGTCTATCATGGCTTTTATATTATACATGTTATCAATCACAGTAGATATAAGAATCATATTCATTGTCATTTTCTCTTCAAATTGTTATTATCAGATCTCTTCAAGCTTCTGTTTACAAATTTGAGCAGGAGCTAATCTTTTCCCTGTTTTATCAGAGTATTCTTATAGTTATCTTTTAAATCTTTCTTCACTGCAATATAATTGATGCAGACAGGCACTGATTCATTCTTTAAATAAGAAGACACTGATCTTTCTCTTGAGTGTGAAGATACATAGATTAATCAGTAGTTGAAAGTAATGTGTTCTAATCAGTTACAGTTAATATATACTTCATATTGATATTGATCAGTGACTTTCTTGAGAGTGATCTCAGAGACTTGAAAGCCTGTTTGAACAGTGGAAACTCTTACTTATATATAGACATTTAAATCTATTCAGTTCATAGCATCTGCATCATTACTATTTCTCAGTATGAGTGTATGAGTGACTAAAGTGTAATGTCTTCTACCACTGTTCTGTATACTCTTGAGCTTGATAAGACAGGCATTCAATGTCTGAAGCTGTGTGCAGAAACCTTTATAAGTCTGATCTTCATCTATGCTTATAAGAGTCTGTAAGAGTTCAAAAGTTAATGTCTTCTTGAGCATACTAATCTTTATTCAATTCTCTCAAGATTGATCACCTGCTTCTAGAATCTTGATGTTGAAGTCAGAGATAAATGTTATAAGAGAAGTGTTTCTCTGTCAGATACTCTGTAATCAATCTAATACTTTCTATTATATGACAGTGTCTTGAAACAGAATATCAAGATATTTGATAATATTATCAGATATTCATAACACTGATTCACATGCTTTTATTCATGAATGAAACTTCTGTTTCATACAATTCTTCAATTGTTTATTAATATATCAATCTTGATTGATTAATAAACTGATAGCATCTTCATCTACACTCAGTTTTGTAAGCATTTCAATTCTTCATAATGAGTAGAGAGTAAGATTAAAAGTATTAAAATATGTGAGAGTATCTAAGTATTCTTTCAGTGCTTTTGTATTCAATTCTG